GCAGGGATTTCAAACTGGGGCCTGTGGAAATTTAGAGAATAAAAAATGCCTTTATCAAAAGTTTTTTTTGGAACTATTATAGTAAACTGTGAACATATGGAACGAAAAAGAATGAATGTGTGTATATATTTCATCTTAATAATTTATTTATTATATGAGGAAAAGTGATAGCAGACATGAAACATGCTAAATAGCAAAACCTAATGCTCAGTCAGTTACAGTTTAGTGGTCATCTTTCAATAAAACTACAGAATGCAGCCATTGGCCATCCAAAATCAGGTATTCCAGAGCACCGTCTGTATAAAAAATATAAATAGATAGAGAACCATCCATGCTAAGAGAAAGCAGTTAGGTCAACAAGTTCAACTCCATCTCTAGCTGTTATATCTTGAGAAAATCATGTTGTCGAGCTCTTGGAGATGAATTCTTAATGAGCATTGCTTTCAATCCTCAGTTTTTGCACAATTTGTCCTTTAACATAACACTTGACATCAATATCTGACAGCAGGAGGAAATCTCAACACATGTCACAGACATTAGACATGCAGAGAAGACTGTTTTTAATCCTGGCTTCTCTCGGCAGCACTAATGAGCACTGGACAGAAATACATCCTGGTGCAGAAAGAACAGAGGGTTCAGCCTACAGTCTGCAGACCACCACTGAAGTTATCAACATTATAAGACCCACACTGGCCTGGACTGACAGAGGCAGCGTGCTCTGTTTATGGCCCATTACGAGCAGCACTATTCCTCCGGGTCATGTTTGATCATCTCCATATATCTGATAATGAGCATCTCTTAGATGAGTGCTTGTTTTTGATGCAAAGACCTAAAAGTCTAACAAGGACTGTGTACTGATGGAGCTGCCAATGAGGAGATGATATAGACGATCCTCATCTATTCACTTCATCATGTTGCCACAACAACAAGAATGAGGTATGCAAAGATAGATAATGACAGTAGCACTACATACAGTGGTGTGAAAAAGTGTTGGCCCCCTTCCTGATTTCTTATTTTTTTTGCATGTTTGTCACACTTTAATGTTTCAGATCATCAAACAAATTTAAATATTACACAAAGATAATGCAAATAAATACAAAATGCAGTTTTTAAATGATGATTTCATTTATTAAGGGAAAAAAGCATCAGAAGGTCATAAAAGAACCCAGAACAACATCTAAAGAACTGCAGGCCTCACTTGCCTCAGTTAAGGTCAGTGTTCATGGTTCAACAAGAAGAAAGAGACTGGGCAAAAACGGCATCCATGAGAGAGTTCCAAGGCAAAAGCCACTGCTGACCAAAAAGAACATAAAGGCTCGTCTCTCGTTTGCCAAAAAATATCTTGATTATCCCCAAGACTTTTGGGCAAATATTCTGTGGACTGATGAGACAAAAGTTGAACTTTTTGGAAGGTGTGTGTCCCGTTACATCTGGCGTAAAACCAACACAGCATTTCATAAAAAGAACATCATACCAACAGTCAAACATGGTGGTGGTAGTGTGATGATCTGGGGCTGCTTTGCAGCTTCAGGACCTGGACGACTTGCCATAATTGACGGAACCATGAATTCTGCACTCTATCAGAAAATCCTGAAGGAGAATGTCCGGCCATCAGTTTGTGACCTCAAGCTCAAGAGCACTTGGGGGGACAATGATCCCAAACATACCAGCAAGTTCACCTCTGAATCTTTGTGTAATATTAAAAGTTGTTTGATGATCTGAATCTTTTAAGTGTGACAAATATGCAAAAAATAAAAAAAAACAGGAAGGGGGCCAACACTTTTTCACACCACTGTATATTGGTATATAAAATGCTGTATACAGATGTACCTGCACTGATTGAGGGAGGATTCATATTAAGTTGTAATATAACCTAATGACTCTACTGAACAGAATGTAATATGATACTTTCTGAAGGATCATGTGACACTAAAGACTGGAGAAATGGCTGCTGAAAATTCAGCTTTGCATCACAGGAATAAATTACATTTGAAAATATTAAAATAGTAAACAGCTATTATAAATTGTAATAATATGTTAAAATATTATTGTTTTTACTGTGTTTTTGATCAAATAAATGTAGAGGCTTTTTTCAAAAACATGAAAAAATATAGCTGCAAGCAGCAAATACCAGGGTTCAATTGTTTTAAGCCACTTGAGAAATTATAGACATTTTAAGATGATTTTACCCAAAAAGGCTGAATAATAATAAATAAAATCAATAGAAATATTATTTAATGATTTATCACTTTTGACCAATATGTGGCACTGCTCCCCAATTAATGTTGTGTGGTTAACTGGGGGTGACGATGAGACTTACCCTGTGTCCCAATGTGCATACTATCCACCCTATCTGCCCTAAATAGTATTGAAAATTACTAATATCACATAGAATTTAGGATGGACAGTAATCACATTGGGACGCATGCACACAGTTTGGTGCCAACATGCCCAAGATTTTTCATATCTCCTGACCACTAGGTGACACTGTGCCAAAACTGTGCAGGTAACCTCAGGTCATGGTTTTCATAACAAACTCCAAGTTTGGTCTGAACACGACAAAGCATTGAGGAGATATAAGCTGTATCTCATTTAGAAGGCTGCGCCCTCCGGAGGTCGCATTCGAAGGCTGCATACATCATCGAGTCTCATGTCTCATTTCAGAAAAGCAAGTAGGACACTCCGAATGCGACCTTCGAATGCGACCTTATTTCACAGGATTTCGGAGGATGCATGATGTGTATCCTTCGCTGCTACATACCCACAATTCTACCCACAATTCTACCCACAATTCTTTGCGTCGCAGTGAACAACCGTTGTTAATTTGAAAAATGCCGGCGCCGGCAGATGTAACGTACACACAAGCGCAGATGTGGTGTTTACAACCTACCTTTATTCGCCTCGGTAAAAACGGATAAACCTCCTCCTTTTTTCTCTAATAGATGCCTGCTGTATGTATGCTGTAGCTCCTCAAACATTGAACAAAATAAAACAAGTAAAACCATTATTTTTTTTAAATTACTTTCCCAATTTAGAAATAATTTTCCTTCATTTAAGTAGTGTGAGAGCGCAGCGATGCTCTAAATGTGTTGGCATAGCAACGTGATACTTCCGGTTTCCTTTTCCGCCCGTCCTACGAAGGCCGTCTCGTTTAATTCTAGGTTGAGGACACTTCGTATATGCATCCTACCGAGGATGCGACCTCCAGAGGATTCGACCTCAGGAGGGTGCAGCCTTCTAAATGAGACACAGCTATAGTCTCATGTCCATTTTGGCGAGCTCTTCATCAAATTAATTTGTGCGTTATTTCATAATGGCTGGGTCTATCAGAAAGCTTTTGATAACTTTTTGTGTGTCTGTATCAGTTTTGGTGAAAACTGGACAAACCATCTAGGATTAGTTTTAAAAAGTAGCTTTTTTACGTAATGTCAAATATTTAACGAACGGTTTGATTGATAGCAGTGGTTCTAGAAGTTGTTCAGAATGAGGAGCTCTAACATATGATATGAATACTGTGTGTATGTGTAAAAAAACGTGTGATATACGAGGCATAAAATGCGATTTCTTTTATATTTCTTACAGACCTCTAGGGCCAAACAGGTCAAAATTGAATTCCGATCAGCCTCCGTTAACCTTGTCTAATAGGTGCTTAAGGTTGATTGGCTGATGGCAGCCATGTTTTCTGAGATACACCAATGCCCTCACAGATATCAGTGGCACCTTGGTCAAAGACAATGCATGCATGCAACTTTCAAGTGAATCAGACTAATGGGTGCGTAGTTACAGCCATTTTCATGTTTTTTTTCCTGTTATAGCACCACCAAGTGGTCAAACTCCCCAATTTTTGCAATTTGACAAAAAACGATTGACTTCATTCATGTGTTCCAAGTTTGGTGAAAATATATCATTCCATTCAAGAGTTATAGTCGTTTTAGTAAAAGTGGCCCCACCCACTTTGAACATTTTTGCATCCTGTTCTGACCGACAATAGAACTTCAACTTGACTTTGATAACTTTTGCTAATCAGACTCCAGATAACTTTTCTGCACTGGTTTGGTTCTGATTGAGCGAAAAACCTTTGGACTACTTCGCAAAAAATCCAAAATCCTGTGTTTTGTCCTTTGTGAGTTATGAGCGGTTTCATACTTTTGATCGCTGTAGCACCCCTGTCAGGCCGATTGGGGCAAGCCTTGGTGACGTTATAGACAGTGTGAGTAGGGGAGAGTGGGGCACAACCTAACACTTTTTGACTTTCTCAGTTTGGGTTGAGAGTATAATTTTTTATCCACAGTCATTTCACAATTGTCTAGAGCAAATATGTCTCTTTGTTTCATAATTACAGCGTATATGTTTTTCTTTATTTACCCTCAAAAAATGGAAGTGAAATGTGACAACATGCCCCATAGGTGGGGTACATTGTAACATCTGAGGGGCATGTGGTAACATGACTATATGGCAGCTTAAAATGTTATCTGATTAAAATATACAAGACAAACTAAAATATTTTGTCAATAAAATCAAATAAAAAAACATTGCCTGTCAGTTTCTTTTCACCTGTTTCTCGTAGTTTCTCATTAAAATGCATTAAAGTAAACAGTGTAAATTACATCACTAATGTCACAGAACAGCGGGGCACATTGTAACACAGTGTTACAACGTTCCCCATCTGCACAACTGGAATTTAAAACCGGTTAGTGTCTTCTGCTAGTTAGCAAAGCATTAAAAACCATCTAAACTGATAAATAACATATTGGAGATTAAAATAATAGCAGATTTTTCTCATTTTAAATAAATACTAAAAACTGAAATGAAAAATGTACTTAAGCCAAAAATGTACTTTTACTGTGGCAAAATAAATGTTCAGCGATATCTTTAAAAGATTTTCGAAATTTGGTGCACTTTTTTCTCTATATAATGTTGATATGGCAAATAGTAAATACTGTAAATTTTGTTATTCTAGAATGTGTGGAAATATTTAAACCACATGTGTTACAACTAACCCCGCGTTGGTTTGTGCCCCGAGCTCCCCTACTACCATCCCTCCAAGTTTCAAGTCTCTACGACTTATGGTTTGGTCTCCCCGATCACTTTTAGGTGAAGAATGCCGATTCTTGGACATTGCAATATGACAGGATGCAGATGATCTCAACATGGCACCTACTGTAAATAAAAATTCACTTCTTCAGAAAAAAACCCCGTAATTAGCACTTTAGACTCACCCGCTCTGCAGATTGTGCGGTTCCAAAGAAGATGGGTATGAAGGCCAGCCAGATGATACAGGTGGTGTACATGGTAAATCCAATGGGCTTGGCTTCATTGAAGGTCTCCGGCACTCCTCTGGTCTTGATTGCGTAAACAGTGCAGGTGACCATCAAAAGGATGCTATAGCCCAGCGAGCAAATGAGTGACAGGTCTGAGATGTCACACTTGAGCACCCCGCGGGCGTTCTCGGGGTCCTGCGTACGCTGCTCGCCGTAATCCACAATGGTGTGTGGCGGGTCGGCCACAAACCACACAAACACACCCATTAACTGAACTGAGATCAGGCTGAAAGTGATGACTAGCTGGGAGGCGGGACTAATGAACCGCGGCGCCGCGACCGACTGCTTGCCCTGCTCAAAGATCCGATGGATGCGGTTGGTCTTGGTGAGCAAGGCAGCGTAGCTGAAACACATGCCCAGACCCAGGAAGATCCTGCGGAAGGAGCAGACGGCCACTTCGGGCGCTGCTATCATGGGGAACGTGGTAACATAGCATAGGAAAATTCCCGTTAACAGCACGTAACTCATTTCCCTGCCGGAGGCCCGTACGATTGGCGTGTCGTTGTAACGCACAAACGTCACCACCACGAAGGTCGTGGTGAGGATTCCCAGGATGGCAATGAAGACGGGTACTACAGCCCACGGCGAGTGCCACTCCAGCTTAATGATGGGGATTGGCTGGCAGCCGGTGCGGTTCTGATCTGGCCGTTGCTCATATGGGCAAAGCTGGCACGTGAACTCGCTGGCCTGGTAATGGTAGCCCTCGCAGCGCTCGCAGTGCCAGCAGCACGACACCCCCTTCACAACCTTCTTCCGCTCGCCGGTCTGACAGGGCAGGCTGCATACAGACGCCGGCACGGATGAGTCTCCACTCGCCCACTGCATGGCATTCATCTGAAGACAAAGAATGTCAGAAATATTCTGGTAAATGTCAAAAAGCATTTGTTATTTTCAGATTCTGTGGAATTAATTTGTAGGGAAAATAAAATTAAATAAAATAAAAACATAAAATGAAAAAATAAATAAAATACAAATCTAACAAAGGAACATATTATGAAGGTATCATTAATTAAGAGGTATTAAAAAGATAAAGAAGGAAAATGTGTCAACAGTATAGTGGGAATGACCTGTTTGACAGAGAAAATAAAATAAGTCAAACTGCTAATTAATTTGTCATTTTTAAATAAAATATTTTTCTTATAATATAATATACAGGGGTGCACATACATTTTTCAGCCTGGTTCTCATGAGAACCTGGAGATTTGGTTTGGTCCTCACACTGCATATACTGTTACCCATTAAATATAACTATAAAAAAAATAATAATAATAAGACTGATAATAATATTGCACTTTATTTATTTAGTTAAAAAAATTTTAATTAAGAAAACTAAATAATAAAATGTGATACTGTTATATTTTAAAATTAAAGGGAAGTATTAAATACAAATGCAATTACTTTATAGTAAACTTAAAAATAAAATGTTAATATTTACTACTACTTTTTTACTTAAAATCAGCAGGGTTGCCGGCAAAGTAAGTATATCCGCTTCCGGGTTTGAAGCTGCCGATCGAAGAACATCAGTGAATGAAATGTCACAGTTTTTGCATTGTGCTTTGAAAAAAGGCAGCCTAGATTTATGCTTTCAGTTTGACCAGAAATCTTATACAGTACAGTTTGTCGATCTAAAATGGGTGATTGTGCATTAGCTGTCAATCATGTGCTGTCAGAACTTATTTACTCAGCGCATTTTTTGTTTTGTTCGCACATGCGGACCTGCATACCACTTATGTGCACCTCTGATAATATAATATAATATAATATAATATAATATAATATAATATAATATAATATAATATAATATAATATAATATAATATAATATAATATAATATAATATAATATAATATAATATAATATAATATAATATAATATAATATAATATAATATAATATAATATAATATAATATAATATAATATAATATAATATAATATAATATAATATAATATAATATAATATAAGTAAGGTATAATGCATGGCTAGCTGTGCATTACACGATTTTAATGCACGAAGTGGAGGCCAAGTACCAAGTGGTTGCCTCCGCAAAGTGCATTAAAATTGTTTAATGCACAGCTAGCCGTGCATTATCCCGCTTATACCTTGGTCATTTTCCTGCATTGACAAGTTAAAGCTGTTAATGATGTTTTCAGCACAATATTTGATCGGAAGGATAAAAATGGCGGTTATTTTTGTCAGTTACGGCTCATTAGCGCTAACATTCTGCCCGCTTCAAATCAGACACAGAGATGAAATAGTGCGGTAAGATCACATTTATTCGAATGAATTATAGAATTTATTTGAATTAACTATCTATTGAGAGAGAGAAAGATGACAGTTGTGTGTGCGTTTGTTACCTGCATCTGCATGTCTCTCTACAAATGATGAAGCTGTTTAGTTACTTTAAAAACAGCGATTTTACCACCTCGTCGCTGAGGAATATAATGTAGTGATCTAGTATTTGGCTATTTTCTCTCTCTCTCTCTCTCTCTCTCTCTGTATGTGTGGGGGTTTGTGTGCATCAATTAAAGGAGCGCATTAATATAGAACAGTGATTAAACTGACTTGGAACAACCTGTGCATTAAACGGTTTTAATGCATACCTGCCAGCCAATCAGAATCAGTCAATCAGAGTATTCAGACAGACCATGGTGTAATATAATATAATATAATATACTGTTCAAAAGCTTAGGCTTGGTATGATTATTTAATGTTTTTGAAAATTATCTTATGCTTACAAAGGCTGCATTTTTTAAAACCAAAAATACAGTAACAAAACAGTAATAAAGTGAAATAATATTACAATTTAAACTAATTGTTTTCTATTTGAATAATTTTTCAAATGTAATATTTCTGCAATGCAAAGCTGAATTTTCATTATTATTCAATTATTATTCTTATTATTATCAATGTTGAAAACAGTCACTGAATCTGATACGTTTTTCTTTATGATTCTTTGATGAGCAGAAAGTTCAAAAGAACAGCATTTTTTTTAACACTCTAAATGTCACCTGTGTTCAATTTAATGCATCTTTGCTCAATAAATGTATTCATTTCTTTCAAATAACAAAAATCTTACTGACCCCAAACTGTTAAACAGTAGTATAAATCATAATCAGTGCCAGCACATACACAGTTAATTTCATGTCTATGGAGCAAAATGTTACTTCTGAATTACGGGTGTTAATTCAACACCACTAATTGTACAGTGTAATTGCCATAATCATTATGACAGACGTCTACACCATAATCATCATTACCAAAGTAAATAACTGTTTTATAGGCAGCCTCTAACATTTAAGTACACTTGAAAAGGAACGTAGATGAACTCCTTACATTTAAATGCAGCTGGTCCGTCCAGTGGCCGATGATTCTGTACTCAGCCGACCTGTTTGTTATCTGATATTGGTAGATGTCGTAGCGTCCAGGGGCGTCTCCGTTTTCATTAAATACAACTAGGGTCTTGGCACTTCCTGTCCGAAGAGATAAAACAACATTATGATTTTCGTATCTTGTGAAATCCTGAATCAGACGATCTCAGCTACATAATCTCCCATGGCCAAGATGAATCAGTAAACACATCAGACATTACTTGAGACATAAAAACATCAGGATTTCTGCATAAACAAAGTATGCATAATGCTCCAGATCCATTCAACCAACAAGATGAATAAATTACAACCAGTGATAAGCTAAAAATGAAATTAGTGTCATATTCCGAACAAAACAATTTAGTGAACTGCTAACAAAGCATAAGAGGATCTTCTTCATTTGTTATCTGTTATTATACAAAATCATTCCATCATTATGAAGCCCTAGTGAGTTTTCTCGGGCCTACAGGAATCGTCTCAGATTAGCAATTTCAGTGGCATACAGAGCAGCTCGTGAGGAGGGAGAGTTTGTATCAAATGAGTGTCTCTCGAGATAGGGAATCATGCATTATTAAAACACCTGCATACAGTCAGCCGTGGAGTGGGCCTGGAGGATTCCACAGGAAATGCTGCTTGCTGTTACGACACACCTCGAGCAACAAAATAATCAGATTACTCATTCAGAGTCGCACGCTCTGCACACACATTATCTTTTTAGATGCGACCGCATGCCAGGCAACGATTCCAAACGAGCCAATTCACTGACAAGGTTAGAGCTCACAAATGAAGTTAAAGGACTGATCAAATAAAGTCAATAGCACAAGTTACTTTAGGTGACATTTTTGCGGACTGTGACATGGTGATGGTCAATTTTAGTGTACTGTATTTGTATGACAAAAACTGCATTTTTACAGCCAAAAAGAAAAAAATAATAAACACATATGAGTGTTTATTTTAGTTTTTCTTATCAAAAAAACTAATAAAAGCTATTTTTAAAAAACTAAACAAACACCACAACAAAAACAGAAGACAAAAACACCAAAAAAAATCAAAACAAACAAACAAACGCAAAAGCAAAACACAGTACAACAAAACACAACAAAATTAAACGGAAAACACAAGAAAAGCAAAACACAATATAACAAAACATAACACAATAAAACACAAAACAAACACCATGAAAAAAAGCAAGCACCACTACAACATCAACATCAACAACAACACAACACAATAACACAAAACAAAAGCAGACAACACAAAAAACAGATCACAACAAAACAAAGAGCAAAACAACCCAATAGAATACGAAACACAACAAAACAAGCACCGCAACCACAATACAACTAAATAAAACAAACACAATAAAAACAAAACACAACACAATAGAACACAAAACAAACAGCACAAAAAATACTAAAGCAAACAACTACAAAAAAAACAGCACAAAAAAAAGCAAAACACACCACAACCTAATAAAAAGCAGAACACAACACAACAAAACACAGCACAATAAAACAAAATTCAAAACAAAACACAATAAAAAAATAAAGATAGGAATATATTATGAATGTAACTTTTACAGGTTTTTTTTAACTGCTTACACACATTTTCAAAACTTTGCCTCTTTTTTTTCAAATTCACACACAAATTCAAGAATTGCACACACAAAATGCAAAATGCCTCACATCACTTGCAAAATGAAGCACTGCATTCAAAATATCACAAACACCTTTGCCATAATATTAATTCCTGTTAGATTTTTGTGTGTTGCATAGAGAATTGTATGTTGTGTCTTGCAAAAAGTGTTTTATGAAATTGAAAACTGAGTCAAAGGCCGAGATGGTTTTGCAGATTTGGTGTGTGGTTCTGGTGTTTGAGTGTCAGGTTTCAGAAATTGTGTGACAAGTAAAGATTTTGTGTGTAAGCAGTTGAAAAAAACTGTAAGAGTTATTTAGAAAATGATAATGATGAAAAATAACACTAAATATTTACAGGTTTTTTTTAACTGCTTACACACATTTTCAACTTTGCCTCTTTTTTTTCAAAACTTCACACACAAATTCAAGAATTGCACACACAAAATGCAAAATGCCTCACATCACTTGCAAAATGAAGCACTGCATTCAAAATATCACAAACACCTTTGCCATAATATTAATTCCTGTTAGATTTTTGTGTGTTGCATAGAGAATTGTATGTTGTGTCTTGCAAAAAGTGTTTTATGAAATTGAAAACTGAGTCAAAGGCCGAGATGGTTTTGCAGATTTGGTGTGTGGTTCTGGTGTTTGAGTGTCAGGTTTCAGAAATTGTGTGACAAGTAAAGATTTTGTGTGTAAGCAGTTGAAAAAAACTGTAAGAGTTATTTAGAAAATGATAATGATGAAAAATAACACTAAATGTGTTGATAACAGTTTTACGGAGCCACAGACAGAAGGCGGATCACACACCATCCATCAAATAAATTATCTGTGCATTGCTTCTGTTTTTTTTTGCTGTAAAATATGAATCCAGAACAAAGGTGGCGTAAGCCTCTTCATCTTGATGCAGGACACTGACCAATCTCCAATCAACTACTTGATTGCAGCTTCTCGCTCGCGCCGTCCAAACGCCTCATACGAAGACTGTGACAATACAGAAGAAATGATTAAAGGGTGGACGAGATGTTTTGATTAAGCCAAGTCTTGGTTTAATCACAGGTTAGACCTCATTCTCAAGACTTGCAATTAGACAGTGCTAATTCAAAGTGGCCTGTGGAAAGCCAAACAGGAGAGGGAACGTGCCTATAATGAACGAACCGTCCTACTGTAATTTATGCGTGGCGTGTAGGCACAAGTTTCAACTTGATCTTGGCATTACTTTTCACAGTACATGCTTTGCAACTATCATCCGCAGTGGAGTGAATCACTCCTGCCTGAAGATGTATCTCATTATAACACACTGTGGCTAATATTCCGCATCAACAATGAATCAGCTCAAGTGTGCCATATTTAAAAGAACAAAGGCAAATGAAATGAGTTCATATGAGCATTCGGCACAGAAGATCAAAAATGTGAATCATAACAGCATATGTGATAAATCGACAACTCTATAAACTCCTGGAGTCCCAGCTTTGATTATTAGGGCCACATACACACTTCCCATGTGTTAGAAGTGGGCTACTTTTGAACCGCTACATCTTAGTTAATTTCCTGTGAGGGAAACGCCTTCGACAACCTCGCAAACTCGAGGGAGATTCATACTAATAACTATTTGATGGAGCTCATGCTCAAGTGGTGTGTTTGCCAGCTCTCTTACAGGAAGTGCTAACCTAATCAACAGAAGTTGAATGCTCGAGACGCTCATGCCATTGAAACGCAGCCCGAGTAAATGCTAAATAAGACCGTTTTTGCTCTAAGGAGGGCATTCAGTCATGTGGAGAGCATGAATGATCATCTCTGTAGGGTGCATCTCCAATACCATCCACCAGGCGTGGACCGCGGCCAATTGTGTCACTAATTTTGTAAAAATCCTCGCCACTAGCATTACGTTTTTTGGCAAAAGTGAAGACATCTGAGCCTTACACTGGTTCACTGAATTGGATTAGAGTGTTCTCTCCGTCTTCTGAGAGGTCTATGCCAATGTGATTTGAACTACCTGAGGCTTGGTCTTTAGACACATACGTTGCCCAAAGTCTGGGGGGTGAATATGTAGAAGAACAACTGATGAAGTGAGGTGAGAGAGACAGCAATGAAGAAACTTGGAGATCTGTCAGACCCAAGTGAAAAAAATTAAATTAAAAATAAATAAATAAATAAAATATAAATGTATTTTAAAAACAAAATAATTAAATTAACTAATAAAAAAAAGTAAAAAAAAAATTCTAAATTATAACATTTCTATTTATTTGGTGAAATTAATTAATTTACACAGTGGCTGTCTAAACTTGTTTCATAACATATTTATTTAAACATAATTAAGACATCAACAGGTAAAGTAAAAATATAATGAGTAGCTATACAGTCTAAAATTTCGCAAAATGCTCTTCTCTAGACTTAATTTCTCTAGGGAACTAACGAGCTGTTGACACCGATGACTTGCCTGAGGTAAATGAAATGCTATGTGGCATTTTGTTTACAAGCTGTGTTATTGACGTCTTTCCGCGGTAGAAACACTGATTGAGCGATTACATGTGGCATGAGATGTTCATTCATGTTTATTTCTCGTTAAAACTAGTAGTAAAGAGGAAGGGATGATCGTGATCACTTGTTCTCCGCACTGCCGTATAAACTGAGGCATTTATACAGCGATCTGTTGCACCACATCAAAGAGTGTCAAAACTGCATTTAATGTTTGAATTTCCTGAAAAAAATGCACATAATTTAAAAGAGGAGACTTTGTTTTTTATCAAAAGTAACAGTATATAAAACTGGAAGTTTCCAGTGAAGTTTTACTAGTGCAGTGGTTAAAACAATGCTGTATTTGATTGGTAAACATGCGTATCGTACATCAAGACCCATACCAAAATTTTCAGTATGAATATGTGTATTGTTACACCCTATATAATATGTATATATATGTAGCAAATTAGCTCAAAAGGGTAATGTATATAAATAATTACAATTAATTATGATTAATTACAATTATTTATATCAGCTGCCAGTAGTAACTGTAACAGAATTAAATTGCAATTAACTAATCTGTTCGTCCAGCGAACATTCAGTGTAAGTTCATATCAACGCTAACAAAGGATATTTTCATGGCCACAGAAAATATCTTTCCAACAGTATTAATGCATTAGAGCATGTAGCTGGATCAGAATCGTAAAGGGACATTATTCACAAGCAGGACCAGAAACTCATGTAATTCGTGCACAAAAGTTTTATAAACTAAACGCTAACACACATAACTATTCTAAACAAACAAACATACAGTCACTCATACATCGCGAAAGGGGAAATGAGACTTGATGGATGAAACCATCAGGAAAAAAAGAGAATGAAGCTATGAAAAGAGCCAGTTAACCATCTAAAACCATCAGCGCCGTTTTACAACGGGGTCTATAGCTTATACTAAACCTGTTTCATTTAGTTAAATGTATGATACTTGCATTGCCTTGGTTGTTG